CCAGGTCGCCCTGCCTCTCCCGGCTGTGCCAGCTCCACATCCTCTCCCAGTTCCCGCGGGACGGTGGCCCTGGAGAGCTGGGTGTCCCTCACCGCAGCTGTCATCCGGACGTGAGTAGGACGCGGGGTTTGAAGTCCACGGCAAGGGTGGGTGGGGACCCAGGCGGTGCAGAGGGACCCTGGCTGGGGCCCACAGCTCCAGCCGCCGCGAGACGGACCGGGCCGAGCAGCTCACGTCAGGGGTAGAGTCTCACATTGGGCACAAGGGCCCGGAGGTGCTGGGGACGGGCCCTGCACACACGCAGGCGCACACACGTGTGCACATGCACACGCGCGTGCTTCGTTCGATCCCACCACACTCGGCACTTGTTGAAGAGACCAGGCCACAGGGCCGCAGCTCATCCACGTTCTGGATTCGTCTGGCCGTTTCTCCGTGGTCCTGTCTACTGCCCTCTACGCCCTGTCCCTCTGGGGCTGGATGCCTGGAACGCGGTGCCCGGGTGACGCCGTGACCTTCGGCATCACACGCGAGACCGACGCCGGCCGCCTGTGCCGAAGGCGTCTTGACGGGAGTGGGCGTGGCTGATGAGAGCCGTTCGCGAAGATTCCGGAGCTGGCCGCGCGCCGCCCCTGGAGCCTGCGTGCGGCTGAGTGGCGGGGTCGGCGGGGCAGGGAGAGCAGAACGTCACAGCTGTCTGACGGCGGAGCCCGCCACGAGGTCTGGGCCCGGACGGGGCTCTGGGCCCGACGCGCTTGCCGGAAGTAGGTGACACTGTCGGAGGCCAGTCTGCCTGCTGCCCCCTGAGCATACAGCGGAACGCGGTGGGCCAGTCGCCTCCACCTTATGTACCGCCCTGGGGTCCCTTCCGACTTGCCGGCTCGGGCTGTTTCTGGGGGCCGTCGCCTCTCATGGGGTCGGGAGGGGAGGCTGCAGAGAGGAGACAGCTCAGGGGGCGCCCCCGGGAGGTCCCCCCACCCCGGCCCTGTGAACCACGCTCTGGGGCGCGTCCTGCTCCTGTGGGGAGCACGAAGGCCTTGTGACTGCAGGTGCACAGCCAGCAGGTCACCTCCTGGGACCCATCTAGAGCTAGAACTCTATTACCTCTTGAAGTAGGTGATGAAAACTGATAGAAAGTCTTTCTGGGATCTAAGGGATGGCTGCGTGGCTGGGGCAGCAGGGCTGTGAGGCCCTCAGCGATGCCGGGGGCGGGGCTGGCCTCCGACCTGTCCGTCCCGCAGCTCAAGCCGCCAGCGCCCAGTCCTGGCTGCCACTCGGCTAAGGCGGCCAACGTCTCTGTCCGCGTCGTCTCGTGCCCGAGAGCTTAACGGAGACGCCTTGTGGATCCAGTGTTCTGCTCTTGCTGTCGGCTCTGCTTTTCTCATGGTCCGCGTTTCTGCGCCAGGTGTCAGCAGGGCTGACGGTGCGGTTCTGAGTCCGTAGGTACAAACTCTAGCAAACTGCTTTGAGATGAGCCTGCGATTTGCGTGAGCGCGTGCGGGGAGACGCAGATGCGGGATCGATGTGTGTGCGGGAGGAAGTGTGTCGTCAGCCCCTGGACAGGGAGCCACAGGCCCACGCCGGCAGCACGCGCTCGGTGGGCGGGCAGAGCTGTGAGAGGCAGAGGGGCTTGTGGGGCAGGGGACAGCGGGCAGGGCACAGGCTGAGCATGGCGTGGGGGCGCCCGGCCCTCCCGCCTGGCCTGGTGCCGTGAGGCTGGGGCTGGGGGTCACAGGCTTGAAGGTGAAGTGGGGGACGGAGGCGGACCCCAACTGGACCCCGCCCCTAGAGGCCCCCTTCTTTCAGCCTCTGTTCTTCTGGCTCACACTCAGACAAAATGGGGCTTACACTACACGCCCCACAAACCGAAGCTCGCAGACGCGGGTGTGCCTGTCCTCTCCCTATGACCCCCAGGACGGGCCCCTGTCTCTTTCCTGGGCCTTCGTGAGCTCGCAAGTCCATTGCCTTTGAGAGGCGTGTGGCCTGACCGGCGTTTTGTGCCCAGGGCTTGGCGGTCAGAAGCTCACGGGTTTGCACGCTCAAGCTTCCTGGCGGACAGGACGACGGGCTTCTTGTCCCGTTTGCTCGTTGGTTCCAGAGCTGTAGCTCTTGACCTACGTATCCGATGGCCACAGTGTCACACCCCTGTGGCCTTCTACCTGGTGAGGGTGCGTGCTCATTGAGGCTCCCCGGAGGTTTGTCACGGTCTTCTGGTCACCCTTGGTGGTCTCTCGAAGTGACTTACATAGTAACAGGATCGCCCCTGAAAGTTCACGTGGCGCATTTCACCCAGCCTCACACCACATGTGACGCCGGACCTCACCGGGCATGTGGTCGTCCCACGGGGACACTGTGGCGGGCGGAGGCGCTTGCAGCCCGGCTCCTGCTCGGCCATTTTTATGAAGTTACTTTGGCGGAGGGGCGAGCGTGGGAGTTGGGACTGTCCCCTAGTCACTGGTTCAGGGGATCTACAGCTTTGCGCTGGCTTGAAGTCCAAACTCGGGGCGGTGGCCGGAGCGGGACTGGCAGGAAGCTCTCAGGCGAGTGTCACTGGCAGCTTTGCAGATCCTGACCTTGGGCCACTTTCGGACTTGGCCGCCTTGTAACGTCCCGCTGGGCATTCTAAAATTCTAGAAGGCCAGTTCCTCGTTCGCGTGCCATGGAGGAGATTCGTGTATCACATGATGCTTTGTGTTGTGGGGAGGCTGAGGTTTGAGCCTGTGGATTTGTTGCTACACAGCACACTGGGGTGAGCCACAGGTGGCATCTCTGTGGGTGGGAATCTGCGCCTGACGGCTGCACTCGACCCTCAGACCACCTGAAGGTCTTTGGGTCCATTCCTGCACAGAACTGGCCAGACCTGTTTCGGCAGGAAGGGCTGCTTAGTTCTGGGTCGTGGCTGGGGCGAGCGAGTCCTTGATGTCCCTGTGTTGTGGGCACAGCTCGTGCCGGGAGGACCAGCGGCAGCCCCGCCAGCCCCACGCCTACCAGCACGAAAGCCCAGGGGCCAGACTTGACCGGAGGCCCGAGGAGGGGGTGGTCCAGGTGACGAGGGCCTTTGGCGACCCCGAAAGAACAGCTGGCTCTATGGCCCTTGCTCCAACATGACCCCATCACAGTTGTTACAGTAATGTGTTTGGCCAACCAAGACCTAGGGTGTCCCTGTGTCCCACACTGAACAGAGAACCTGCCCTCTGCGGGTCAGTGGACAGACACGCAGCCTGAGCCTCGGGCCACAGAGCTTTGGGGCCAATCTCATGGTTCTACATGTGACTCAGAGAGCTCAGCCCACCTGGCACGGTCACGAAGCCAGCAGCGGCAGCGCCTTGGCGAGGGAGGGTGTCCAGCGCCCTGCTCAGAGCTGCCAGCACGTTCTGGGGGCGTGCACCCCGCCAGGATGGGACGCAGAGGGGGCACGGCGGGTGCTCGTGGGAGACGAGCTGCTTCGAGAAGACTCCTGTTTCCACACGTGCCCTGTCCGTTCCGAGAGGCAGTCCTGCCCCAGTCATTAAAGAACACTGAGGCAGGTTTAACTTCGGGGCGTTGGGGACAGGGATGGGCCACGCGGCGGGGGGGTGCGGGAGGGGAGCACAGCAGCAAGGGCAAGTGGGACTTGCAGCCTAGGAACGTGGTGGTGGGCGGCGGGCTGCCGGGAGGAATCCTGGAGGCCCGGTGTTTGCACTCGACCCGCCGAGCAGGATTCTCGCAGGGGGTGGGCCCAGGGCAGGGTGGTGCCGGTGCTGGCTGTGGTCAGATGTCCAGGTGGGGGACCAGCCAGCAAGCACTGGGCCCACGGGCGGCCGCGGGAGCCAGGTCGGGGGTGAGGTCAGAGCTGGCGGAGAGCCTGGCCACTGAGCGGCAGCGTCACGGAGTGTTTGTCATCTTGGTTCTGCTCCGCTGTCTGCTGCGAACTTGGTCCTCAAGCTTCAGTCTGTCCTCTGGAGGCACAGTGTGGGGACCAACCCTTCGAGGGAACATGCTTTCTGCCTAGTGACACTGGACTGAAAAAGGGAAGTTCCTCCCCCCACCACCCACCTTCACGTTGCTTAGTTCTTAGAAAGAAACAGGCAGAAGAGAAACACCTCCGGCCCTTGGCTAACATCCTTTAAAAATCTGTCTTCTCCAGAAGTAAACAATGAACACGCATCACTTACACGATCGAGAGGAAAGATACTGTCAGAACTGTCCCCGCCACCTTCTCTGAGAAGTCCACGTCCGTCTGTGGGCTGTTTTGGAGCTTGCCTGTTCTCTGTGGGTGCAGGCTGGGTGGCTTGCCAGCCGCCATCCCGGGTGCACAGAACCCTGGCTTCTGGACCGCGAATGTGGGTGAGGCGCCCAAAAGCGGACGCAGGGAAGTGTGCATGGGCCACGGCGGAGCGCCCTGAGCCTGGGCTGACACCAGAGCCCTTGCTGCTGTTCCCTCGGGGGGAGGCAGGAGGTGGGAGCTTGCGTTAGAGGGAGGAGCTGGCACCTGGCCTCCGTCAGGACAAGGGCGGGTGAGCAGGACTCAGGCTGCGTTTCATCCAGTTCCACCTGGGTGTTCATCGCCAGTCAAACCTCTCATTTTTCAAAATGATTGCTTTATTACTGTGTTTTAAAGATGGCAGCGTAAAAACACAGTCCTCGAAAGTTTTAACCCAAACTGAGGAATTTATCCCATCTGACGGAGCCAGTATGACTCGTCTAAGTCTCAGTTCCTTACTTGTAAGGCAACTTAATGACACCAGCCACGCAGGGTGACAGAGTGCATGGAGGAACCGGGAAGGCTGTTGGCACGAACCTGGCACACAGTAGGCGTTCTCCGTGTGTTTATGCAGCACTGAGGGCTCAGGGCGTCACCCAACCTACGTGACACACCAGGAAAACAGCCCGTCCTGAGTGCGGTGACCCTTCTCCCTGATGTGCTGAGGTGTAATAATTTTATAATACTGATTTTCAAAGGATATTCATAATTTAAATCTCTCATTCCATCCCCACGGTAGTTCTGGGAGGTGGACGAGGCAGTGGTTCTCTTCACCATGTGACAAAAAGCATGTGTCTCAGGGTCTGTCATCTTTTCAGTTTAATTCCTAAAGGTTCTGACTGCCTCACAGAGCAGGCAGAGTGGGTGGAGGGCGTGTGGGTCAGGTGCTTCTCACACATTGTCTCATCTGCTCCTGCAGGACACACACTCTGGTCACCAGGCCCGTGCCAAGGGCCTTCCTAGGTGCTGGGGTGAAAGGCCCCCATTACTCTCATGCAGCTTCCACTTCAGTCAGAAGTCACAGAAAATAAACAAATAACCCAAACGAACGTGGAAAAATACAAAATGCACAGGGGTGCAGAGGGCAGCAGAGGGAGAAAGGGTTCGGGGCAGAATTCCTGGGTAAGGTCCCTGCTGTGCTGTGGTGACCCCTGAGCAGTCCCCCCAAATTGGACGTCTGCGGCCCCCCTTCCCCAGAAGCACCCAGGAAGTCTCAGCGTAGCCTTCCAGGTGTGCCCGCCACATGTCACAGCTGAGCCGGGTGTGTCTGGCTCCAAGACCACGCTCTTGGCCCTTGGTTCTTGAAAGCCTGGCAATCTACACTCAAAAACGAGACCCCCGTGCCATCTCAGCCCCAGCTTCCGTGGGCAGGGTGCAGAGGAGGGCTGCCCTGGGAGGGGGAAGGGACAGGACTCTGCCTTTGGCCAGAACAATTCCTCTCGGGAGGTAAGGGAAGGTAGGACGCCCAAGGTCCCAAACCTCATTCATAGTTCATAAAGCTGTTTCACATGCAGGGTGTCGGGGGGTTGGGCGGGTCTCGGCGGGGTGTTATCCGGGGTTGTGGAGAAGTCTCAGTGGGATGTCAGGGGTTTGTGGGCTCTCATCGGGGTGTCAGGGAGTTGGGGGTCTCAGTGGGGTGTCAGGGGGTTGTGGAGGTCTCAGCGGGGTGTCAGGGGTTTGTGGGCTCTCAGTGGGATGTCAGGGGTTTGTGGGCTCTCATCGGGGTGTCAGGGAGTTGGGGGTCTCAGTGGGATGTCAGGGGGTTGTGGGGGTCTCAGTGGGGTGTCAGGGGGTTGTGGAGGTCTCAGCGGGGTGTCAGGGATTTGTGGGCTCTCAGTGGGGTGTCAGGGGTTTGTGGGCTCTCAGTGGGGTGTCAGGGGTTTGTGGGCTCTCAGTGGGATGTCAGGGGTTTGTGGGCTCTCATCGGGGTGTCAGGGAGTTGGGGGTCTCAGTGGGGTGTCATGGGATCTCAGTGTGGGCTCTGTGCGGTGTCAGGGGTTTTCAGTGGAGTGGGTTCCACGCCGGTTCCGGTCGGCACTGAGGCATCGC